GTCCCCGGGGCGGGGAGCTGGGACCCAGGCGTCCGGGCTCCGTCCCCAGGACGGGGTGGCATACCTAAGCCTTGCTCTGCTTTTGTCTTCTGTCTTGGGACACCTGCTCGTGGGAGGGTTAATATGCTCAAAATACTGCCCAGTGCCAACCCCAGACGCCGCCTCTGGGCAGGTGATGGGCAGGCCCGTGCCGTGTGCCCGTGCCCGGCCTGGTGGCTGCTGATTCTCCTCTTGGGGTGGCCAGGCGCAGGTTGGGGGCTGGCCTTAGTCCTGATTTTAACCTGAGGGGGCCCCCCGCACTCCCGGGGCTGTCTTGGCTGGGAGTGGCGTGAGAGCCCGATTGTCGTGTTTCCCCGAGCCGCTAACCCCCCTGCCAGCCCTCCGGCACCTTCCCATGGTTCCCTGGGCACATCTAGGACAGCCGCGCTCTCCCACAATGCACTGGGCTCATAGAGCGCCTCAGTGCAGAGCATCCTGGGAGTCCTAGCGCCCGCGTGGAGGCGGGGTCGTGCAGCATGGACTCTCCCTTTGTGCCGGGGAGCTACACGGCTCGATCGGGAGGACCCCTCTGGGCTGGGTGCTATGGAGGGGACCCCCATCTCAGCCCGTTGTCAATCAGAGCTGGTGCCCCCTAGAGGGGAAAGGCCCCGTGCCCCATTCTCTGCCTCCCTGACCCAGCCAGTCCCTGCCTTGTGGCCGGATAGGAGCTGGCGCCCCCTAGAGGGGGCAGGCCACGTGCCCCATTCCCTGGGCCAGGGATTGTGCTGGGGGAGGGGGGGAAGTCCTTTGGGACACCCTCCCCCCGCCGTTTCCTTCCCCGAGGGTTCCTGATCTGCTGCCGCCTCTCCCCATGGTCTCAGGCCTTGCCAGATCAGATCCCCGCCAGCCCACGGATCGGATCAGCTGGGGTGAAGCAGCTGGGAAGCTAATTCTGGGAGGAGGCCCTCTCGGCTGGCCCGGGAGTCACGTCCTGGTGCCCCTGGGGCCGGCGCCAGACCCGTGGGGCGGGGGAATCCGTGCCCTTGCCAAGGGACGACAGGTGCCGGGGGCTGTGACCCGGGCGCGGTTTGAGACTGGGAAGCAGGTGGGTGGTTAAAATAGAGTGTGGGGGGGTGTGAATCAGGGGGTTAGCCTATGGCAAATCTAATCCGGGCTTCTCCAGTGCAGGCAGGTGCCATGGCATGTGATAGGGCAGGGGGCCAAAAAGGCAGGGCAGAGGGAGGGGAGGGGGGGCTGGTGGGTTAGAGCAGAGGGGGCTGGGAGCCAGGACTCCTGAGTTCTCTCCCCGGCTCCGGGAGGGGAGTGGGGACTAGTGGGTTTGCGAAGGGGGGGCTGGGAGCAAGGACTCCTGGGTTCTCTCCCCGGCTCTGGGGGGCGAGTGGGGGCTGGAGGGTTAGAGCAGGGGGGGCTGGGAGCCAGGACTCCTGGATTCTCTCCCCGGCTCTGGGAGAGGAGTGGGGGCTGGTGGGTTAGAGCAGGGGGGGCTGGGAGCCAGGACTCCTGGGTTCTCTCCCCAGATATAAGAAGGCAGTCTGGACTCCTGCTGCTAGAAAACACCATTGCCCTTTTTTGACAGGGGGGCGAGAACAGAACTGGCGTCTCCCCTTCCTCCCGCTTCATCCCCAGAGCTGATGGGGCAGGAGGGCCTGTTACAATCCCCATCGCCAGCCTGGCCCCTGTGCTCCCTCGTCAGTTTCGTGGTCAGTTTTGCTTTCAGGGCTGTTCAGTTCCTGATTGGAGTGGGGGTCTTAAAAATCCCCTTGAGTTAGACCCAGACCTCGGGGGAACCGTGTGATCCCAGGGGTGGGTTTGTAAAGGGAAAGGAAGGGTGGGTGGCGGGGGAAGGGCTGCTCTCCTTTGGGAGCAGGGTGAATGGTTTTTGCTCGGCTTTGACTGGGTTCGGGGACGAGCGTGGGGCTGGGTTTTTACATGGTGGGGGGCGTTCCCTGCCCTCGCCGTCTCCCTGGACCAGATTATTTTCCCTGTCTCACAGGTGGGGAAACTGAGGTGTTCTGTCAGGGTTGGCGAGTCAACCCAGGAGTCCTGGCTCTCAGCCCCCGCCCTCCCCCCCCCCCCCCCCCCCCCCCCCCCCGCTCTAACAACCAGACCCTACTCCCGTCCCAGAGCTGGGCAGAGAGCCCAGGAGTCCTGGCTCCCAGCCCCCCGCTCTACCCCATTATTGGGTGTGGGGGGGGGTCACACTGAGCCCCTGGCGTGGCGGGGCACAGAGCATGTGGAATGAGTGGAGGAGGGGGAAGAAATGGAGGGATAAGGGGGGGTCCCTCAAGTAGAAGGAGGGATCAACACATGGAGCTTCTGGGAGGCCCCCTGAACATAGGTCATTACAGAGGCATCCCCGTGCATGTGTGTGTGAGTGAGAGAGAGTGGGGGTGTTAAGAGCCGGGCTCTCCTCCCGGCTATGACAGCCCGTCCCGCTCTGCTCTCGCGGCAGGTGATCCAGTACCAGACGGTGCGCTATGACGTGCTCCCTCTCTCCCCGGCCGCACGCAACCGGCTCAGTAAGTATCCCCCTCCCTCGGCTCCCAGCCCCCCCCCCCCCCCCCCCCCGTCTCTAACCGCTCTCCTCCCAGAGCCGGGGAGAGAACCCAGGAGTCCTGGCTCCCAGCCCCCCCCTGCTCTAACCCACCAGTCCCCACTCCCCTCCCAGAGCCGGGGAGAGAACCCAGGAGTCCTGGCTCCCAGCCCCCCCTGCTCTAACACAGCAGACCCCACTCTCCTCCCAGAGTCGGGGAGAGAACCCAGGAGTCCTGGCTCCCAGCCCCCCCTGCTCTAACACAGCAGACCCCGCTTCCTTCCCAGAGCTGGGGAGCAGAAGGGACTCCCAAGATTTTCTGGGTTAAGAGGGGGTGTCTCCCCAGGAGCAGCAAAGGGGTGGGGGTTGCATCTAAACCATACAGCAGGTAGGTCCGACAGGGGGTCCCTGCCATGGGCCAGCATGCGGGGTGGGGGGCTGGATGCCGGTTACTCAGGGCTGACTGGGATTGGGGCTGGGGGAGGGGTTTGGGGGCCGCGACTGACGGCTCCCTGTCCCCCCCCCCCCCCCCCCCCCCAGGTGAAGCGGAAGGTCCTCGTGCTGGACCTGGACGAGACGTTGATCCACTCCCACCACGATGGGGTGATGCGACCCACGGTGCGTCCCGGGACCCCTCCCGACTTCATCCTCAAGGTGAGACGGGGGCCGGGCGCCGAGGAGTGAACTGGCGGGAGAGGGGAGATTGCCTGTGTGTCGGTGTGTGGGGGGTTCTGCCCTCCAGAACTGTGCAACCCCCAGGTAAATTATGTAGGTCCTACACCCATCCCCCGCCTCGGCCATATCCTTCACCAGCTTAGCTCCCTATGGGGAGAGGACAGACACAAGGGGAACTGCCTTTGTGTGGGGATTATACACTATCTAGGGCCTGTCCCCTCTAGGGGGCGCCGGCTCCCATCTGGCCCTAGGGCAGGGACTGGCTGGCTCAGGGGGGTGGGGAATGGGACACAGGGCCTGTCCCCTCTAGGGGATGCCGGATCCCACCCGGCCCTAGGGCAGGGACTGGCTGGCTCAGGGGGGTGGGGAATGGGACACAGGGCCTGTCCCCTCTAGGGGGCACCGGCTCCCATCCAGCTCTAGGGCAGGGACTGGCTGGCTCAGGGGGGTGGGGAATGGGGCAGGGGCCTGTCCCCTCTAGGGGTAACTCTGGCAGAGAGGGGGCGGGGAGGGGCGGTGCCAGTGACGGGCAGACCCAGGGTCTTGGCCTCCGCCCAGCCCCCTGCTTTACCCGTCTCCTCTCCGGTCTCCAGGTTGTGATAGACAAACACCCCGTCCGCTTTTTTGTACATAAGAGGCCGCACGTGGATTTTTTCCTAGAAGTGGTAAGTGGGGCCCCCCGTCGTGTCCTGCTTTCTTCCAGGGTGGGGGTCCTGTATCCGAACCCACCTCAGACCGGATCATGCAGGGATGCCCCCCATCTCCTCCCCAGCCACCCCGCTATTCTCCACAACCCCCCAATGAGATTCGGCTGGCGCGACACCCAGCTCTGATGCTGACTCCCTTCCCGCAAACCCACTTGACTACAGAGCCAGGGAGAGACCCCAGGAGTCCTGGCTCCCAGCCCCCCCTCTCCTTCCAGAACCAGGGAGAGAACCCAGGAGTCCTGGCTCCCAGCCCCCCCTGCTCTAGCCACCAGCCCCCACTCCCCTCCCAGCGCCGGGGAGAGAACCCAGGAGTCCTGGCTCCCAGCCCCCCCTGCTCTAACCCACCAGCCCCCACTCCCCTCCCAGAGCTGGGGAGAGAACCCAGGAGTCCTGGCTCCCAGCCCCCCCTGCTCTAACCCACCAGCCCCCACTCCCCTCCCAGAGCCGGGGAGAGAACCCAGGAGTCCTGGCTCCCAGCCCCCCCCCTGCTCTCAGCACTAGACCCCACTCCCCGCCCAGAGCCGGGAGACCTTAGTAGCAGTTAGCCAAGGGATAGGAGGGAATCGCTCCAGTTGCTGGGGTCTGTACGCTCCCCCTGAAGCTCTGGGAGAGGATCTGGGGCTAGACGGACTGTTGGTTTGAGCCATTAGGGCAGCTTCTGTGTTTTTAAACGCACCATGCCTCGGTTTCCCCTCTGCAGCAAAAGTGCCCCTGCGCTCAAGTCGCTCTGACAGAGCGGGAGTTTGTTGTGATTGGCGCGGGATGGGGGCGGTACTTGTGTACAGAGTTCCGCCTCTTGCGGCGGGAACAGACCACGCCCGGCTCACTCGCTCCCAGCCCTCAGCGTGCAAAGTCTGACACGGCTCCTTGCCGAGCGCTCTCCTAGCCCCGCGCTCAGGGCAGCCCCTGCACATTCTCCACCCCGGAGAGATGCCTCTTGTCCTGTCCGGCTCCATAATTGGTTCGTCGCATCGCTTCTCCATCAATCCATGGGACGCCCACGTTTTGAATGCCGTGGGCAGATGTGGCCGCCCTGTCTCCAGAAAGATCGATTGGGATTGGAAAAGGTTCAGAAAAGGGCAACAAACATGATTCGGGGTCTGGGTGTGAGGAGAGATTAACAAGACTGGGACTTTTTAGCTTGGAAAAGGGACGGCTAAGGAGGGATATGGGAGCGGTCGATAAAATCGTGACAGGTGTGGAGAAGATACGGAAGTGTTGTTTATTATAAGACAAGAACTAGGGGTCACCAAATGAAATCAGCAGGTTGAAAATGAACAAAGGGAAGTATTTCTTCACACAACGCACAGTCCACCTGGGGAATTCCTTGCCACTGGATGTTGTGAAGGCCAAGACGAGAACAGGGTTCAAAAAAGAACTAGATAAATTTGTGGAGGACGGGTTGTCACGGAGTTTGCAGGAGACAAGGCCCTGAAGCCCCGACTTCCTGCAATTCACCGGGACTCTCAACCAGCTAGTAAAACAGAAGGCTTATTTAGACGACAGGAACACGGTCCAAGACAGGTCTTGCAGGTACAGACAACAGGACCCCCTCAGTCAGGTCCATCTTGGGTAGGGTGACCAGACAGCAAATGTGAAAAATCAGGACAGGAGGTGGGGGGTAATAGGAGCCTATATAAGAAAAAGACCCAAAAATCAGGATTGTCCCTATAAAATCGGGACATCTGGTCACCCTAACCTTGGTGGGCCAGGGGAGGCGAGGAAGTCTGTCTGGGCTCCCCTCCATTTCCACAGCCAGCTCAAAGCTGAAACGCTCCAGCCCCTCCTCTGCCTTTGTCTCTGTCTCTTTCCTGGGCCAGGAGGTCACCTGATCTCTTTGTTCTCCAACACCTTCACTTGGCACCTTTGCAGAGGAGGGGCCCAGGCCATCAGTAGACAGGGCGTCACAGGATCACACTGGGTCCCTAGGGTTCTGCAACAATCACCCCCCCCGACACTCGAGAACTGCATAGGGGAAACTGAGGCACCCACACAGCACTCAGAGAAAACATTAAGAACATTCCCACTTGGTCACATAGGCGGCTATTAGCCAGGCTGGGCAGGAAAGGTGTCCCTAGCCTCTGTTTGCCAGGAGCTGGGAATGGGCGACAGCGGGTGGATCACTTGATTCCCTGTTCTGGTCATTCCCTCTGGGGCACCTGGCATTGGCCGCCGTCGGATGACGGGAGACTAGGCTGGATGGATCTTTGGTCTGACCCAGTCTGGCTGTTCAAATATCGTTCCGTCAACGAGAAAACAACCATACAAGTTTATTAGCTGGAGAGAGGTCGATTTTTCAGCGATAAAGGCATAAAAGGTGGGCGTTGGTTACAAAGCTAAACACGCAGTCGAAACCCTAAACGTTACGAAGGCTTAGTACGATTTCAAGGAAACAGCTTTTCTCACCTCCCCAGACATTGCAGGTCTCAGTACAGAAAACTGACGGGTTAACCACACACCTCGTTCGGAACCGGAAGTAGGCAATCAGCCAGCAGTAGAGATGACATAGTGAAGTTTCCAAGCTGTATTAAGTTAACGTTCAGTTGTAAACTTATGCAATGTTTCGTTCAGCGGTACGAACGGTTCAGAGTTACAAACAACCACCCTTCCCGAGGGATTTGTAATTCCGAGGCTCTACCGTCGCTAATGGTTGTCTAACACCTGTGGTCAGTCCTCTCTTGACAAGGGAGGTAAAGCACTGGAATGCGTTACCTAGGGAGGTGGTGGAATCTCCTTCCTTGGAGGTTTTTAAGGTCAGGCTTGACGAAGCCCTGGCTGGGATGATTTAGTTGGGAATTGGTCCTGCTTTGAGCAGGGGGTTGGACTAGATACCTCCTGAGGTCCCTTCCAACCCTGATATTCTATGATTCTAAGGAGGAGCTAGTCTGTGGGTGTTTCCCCAACTCGCAATGTGTTTCAGTAACAGACACGCAGTAAAATCTCATCATGCCTTAGGCAGTGTTGGGGTGCACATTTGAACAGGACGGTGATAGTCAGCAGATTATGGCTTTTCAAGTGATACCGTAGTCTGTCGCTGGGTGCTGTGTGGGGGGCTGCGTGCGCAGGTAGACGGGTCCTTCCCCGAAGAGATCAGTCTAGACCAAACATGGGAGAGGAAACTGAGGCACAGAGGGGAAGGGACTTGCCCAAGCAGGCCGGTGGCAGAGCCAAGGGATGGAACCCAGGAGTCCTGGCTCCCAGCCCTCCTTGCTCTAAGCCAGCAGCCCCCACTCCCCTCCCAGAGCCGAGGAGAGAACCCAGGAGTCCTGGCTCCCAGGCCCCCTTCCGCTAACCCACTGCCATGACCATGCATGCGTGTGTGCCCAAAGACACTGCCATCCCCCCGCTCTCTTGGGGGCCAATGGGGTCTCTGGCTGGCAGCCGCCCCTCGCTGGGAGGAGGTGGAGGTCTCTGTCCCACAATGGTTTTCTCTCCCCCCCCGCCCAGGTGAGCCAGTGGTACGAGCTGGTGGTGTTCACGGCCAGCATGGAGATCTACGGCTCCGCGGTGGCTGACAAGCTGGACAACAACCGGAGTATCCTCAAGAGAAGGTATTACCGGCAGGTGAGTGCGGGGCGGGGCGTGGGGCAGGGTGGGGGGGGAGTGGGATTGCGAAAGGTGGCAGGGGAGAGAGGATGGGGAAGGAGGGGCGGGGCTTGGGGTCTGGGGTAGGGTTTAGAGGGAGCTGGGGTGTGGCTTTGTAGAGCAGGGGGGTTTTGGGGGGCTGGGGCGGAGCTTAGAGGGAGCTGGGGGAGGGGCTTTGGCTAGATGAGCTGGTGGGTGATAGACTGGGAGCTCAGGAGAAGGGGGCAGGGCTTCAGCTGCTGGGAGGGAGCAGCCAATCGCCTGCTGGGTGGCAGCTGGGGTGCCCCCGTGTCTC